TTCTATCGGTTTATAAAAACTGGCTGGGCCGACATGTGAGATTATTCCAGCCCTGGGATTACTCGAGGCGAATCTCTCTTCGTGGGACTGGACCTACCTGGGTCAAAAAGTACATAAATACCTGTTTTATTTTATTGTACCGTTATTGCGCGGCTTCCTGTAAATGTATTTATTTTTTTTATTTTTCCATACCTATAATAGTTTCCGCCCTTTAATTTCAGCAAAAAATGGAAATTTTGGCGTAATTTGCTTAGAATACGAATACCTCCTTTCTGCGGATATAGCATAGTGCCCGCCATGTTGGTCTGTCGTCGCGTCGCATCGGTATATTTGTTAAGCAAATGCCCATTAGAAGAGTAACAGTGAAGCTGAAGCTGCTGACTGCTGAAGCTGCGTTCGCTGGCTGGCTGCGAAATTAAATTTTCCTGTTGTCCGAGTAGGTTAAGTTTCGTGCATGCTAATCCACGACCGGTGCCCTAAATGAATTATGAGAATGGGACAATTTCCGTTAACGAACTTCTATGATTGTAGATTTATTGTTGGGCAGGCGACGTAGTATGGCGTATTGGTCCTTTTGTTCGCCAGCGTTGTTCGTTAACGATGCGAAGACAGGTTGCGGTGACGCCTTGCGACGACGACATTGCAAACCTTCTCATTTGAATAATTTGCTGGGATGACCAACATGGCCAGTATAGTATGCAAAACAAGATGCGGTAAATGGACCTTCAGTTTCCTTCGTGAAAGTTGTCATCACCCAGCACCGACAGTGACATATCGTCGTGGAAAAGCCTTTTATGTAAGACTTTTTCGAAATTGATATTTTGATTCCAATATAAGGATCTTATGCATGGGGATCTTAATACCTGAGGGAGATACAGATTAGGTTAAATTAGGAAAAAGTTGCGCTATTGCGGCGTATTTACATGCCGTTGAGAAAGTTCATGGTTTACTGAGATATTTGGGAACAACTAAAATTTGGTGGTTTGGTGGTATTTTGTGCCCGCCGGACCATCAACTTAATTTTTTTAAATGGTCCAAAAAAAGGAACACTCTGTATTTAATAGCATTTTTTCATACAAATTCACACCAAATCAAATCAAATCATTTATGCATGCAAGATACAGTCATTGTATGAGCATATGCCAATTTAGATACATTCACAGATATGACTTAAAACGTTTTTAAAAACTCTTAAAAAGTGAATCCACCATTATTATAGTTATTTAACTATTAGTATTCTCAAAGCACACTATAGGTTCCATTATATAACACATTGTATAGCTAAGTACATTCAAAACCAGTGCCTACAATCTCTGATATAGCAGGTATATGGAGCAAGTTGTAGGAGATATTGCTTAACGCTACTTTTGGAGCTATTTGATTCAAGACTTTTAGTTTGCGGAGGTAGGTTATTTTATAATTTGCAAATATCATGTGATACAATTATTGTCTTGGATATAACAAAAATGTGCTCTTTCGGATTTTTTTTTGTAAGTAGGCGTTGCAAACAAATGGTTGACTTGACGTAAATACCTATCGCCACGTATTGTTATTATTGTGTATTGTTAATATGTGTTATTATCGTCAAAGATGCCAGGCGGTTATTTTAGCAATGAAGGAATGTTCAACATTTTGACGTGCTACTCTTTGTGCTACCAAAAAACAACAATACTGCAGAAATTTATCTTGATACATTTCCTGGAAGAAGGCAGTCCATTTTCTTAGAGTTGGCTAAAAATTTAAACGAATATGGTTCATTCAAAAAGCCTGTGTCTCGAAAATAGGAATATTCAGAGGAAAACTAAGAATAGTGTTATACAATAGGTTGCTGAGAACTCTGAGATAACAACTGGACAAACTGAGAAAAATGTAGGAGTAGTCAAATGCACAGTCTAATTTATTTTGCGTAAAAATAGACATCTCTCCTATAAATCCAGGATTTGCCAAGGACTCAAACCAGGGGATAACGAACGGTGTCAGCATTTTTGTGAGTAGTAGGTACACACGAAGTGTGAAGTATATTTTAATTTTCCTTCAAAGATAATATGGTCCGACGATAGTATGGTCACTAATAATGGTATTTTAGCCACCGCAACACTCAATACTGGGCTCAAGAAAATCTGCGGCCTAAAAGAAGTATCCATACATCAGGAGCGTTTTGGACTTAATATGTTCTGTGGAATTCTAGGGATCAAAATATTACATCCATTTTCTTACCACAACTCATCAACTGCAGAACGGTACCTTCAATTGTTTCAGCATGATTTAGAAGACTGCCTGGATAATTTGCCTTAGGCACAGGTTAATAGCTGATGGTTTAAACAAGACGATGCTCCTGCTCATAAGACCAAGCGTGTTCGCTAGTATCTTTTTCACCGATTTCTCGAAAGGTGGATTGGAACCCCCAGTGAAGTGTTTTGGCCAGCACGTTCCCAGGACTTAACTTCTCTTAGATTTTTTGTTTTGGGTTTTGATAAAAAACTTTTTTATCAACATAGTTTTGAAACTGAACAGCAGTTGCGAGTATGTATGTATGTATGCGTTCTAATGTTGGAAGATCATATTACCTGTAGTCTACTTTGCGAGTCATCGATCGCTGCAGTTTTCCGTGGATTTAGTTCTGTGTTATAGTTTTGTAATAAACTGGGTGAGCGTTGGGCGTTCATGGTTGAAATAATACTATTATCTTTAGGTAACTCGTAATAGAGTTACTCAGGAGCTTACTCTTCCGATTGATGTATTCCTTTTTTTTAATTTTTCCAAATTCAAGCATCATTGGAGCAAAATCCATCTTTGGACGAAGCTTCACGAAGCAACCAAGAATCCGTGGCAAATGTTTTGCTTAATTGAAGTGGACTACCTAGTAGATTGTTATTAATCTCTTTGAAGTTGCTCTGTTGCGTTTTGATTTTTTATTAGCGAATATCATTACAGATTCGTTAAGCCCGCAGTAGGCTAACGTATTTCTCCTTTCATTTAGGACATAGTAGAATGTTTTCGGGATTTTGGGTTTATGAAAATACTACGAATTATAGTTTTGTAAGTTTTGGAGCATTTATCATTTGATACTTTTTTAGGCACCGAAAAAATTTTATAGCTTCCGTCCATAGCATGGCTCTATATGCCTTTCCTGTTCGAAAGCTGAGATTCTTTAAATGTTTATTTGTTAAAAACCCTTTAGTTACTTGCTGTTCGCCTCACCATCAAAATAAGGGATGCATTCCGTCATGGTGGTTAGTGCCCTACTATTGGAATGCACTTATCCATGAATCTTAGTATACAAGACGTACCGACGTATTCAAAACAGATTTTTCAGGAACTCATGTGAAACAGGGTGGAGCTCGTAGACTGAGCGAATCTTTTGAAAAACAATTACGTTTTCATTATAGAATAAAGCTGCGATTCAAGAAGAACAATCAATGAATCCCAGATAAATGAAAAACAATGTAGCACAAGTCGCGACAACCAGTAACAAGTTATCCTGGTCCCGTCAAATCAGACGCCTCCGATTGTCAGTGGCCCTCCGACCTTTTTGATTAATGCTTTTCCTCATCCTCAGCAGACCCTCAGCCGCGAGCGATGGCGTGCCCGCCGAGTCGTTCCGGCAAGACTATACAGGGTGATTTTATAAAACAGACAGTACATCAAAAACACCACAAAGGTCTCTTCTTCAAGATACACTGTCTAATTTCCTACGCCAATGATGACATTGATTGAGGATGGGACATGAACATCTTCCAAATAACATTGTCGTGTGATGGCGAATATCCATCCAGTATACCACATACAACATTCAATGTCATAGATGTCTAACTTCAGTGTGCTTTAAGCTTACAACCATTTTCCTTTTTTAAATGAGTTTTTTTATACGGAATGGTATGGCAAACATTTCTCAAGAGAAATAATTGAATGCCTTGCAAAAAGATCAGTAGCGTAGGAAATAAATAATTAAATAATTCTTTTATCCACACCGAAAATATATTTCTCGGAATTTGAATGTAGCTACAACACACCTTGTTTTTACCGTATTACCATTGTTTTCTGAATTACCATGCATACAGCGTAATATTTATATCTATTAGGGGACAGAATAGCTACTTAGACAAAAACTTCCCATATAAAACGATTTATAGGTTAACACAGAGTGCCCTATCTTCGACATGTATTAAAATTGTTTTACTCACCGCGTCTACTGGCGAAGAAGTATAGTAATCGCGAAAAATTCCGAGAATGAAATATTATGTTTTTTGGATGTTATACGATATGACATCACGAAAAACGATCAGTCGGTATATCTGTCTGTCGGCTAATCTTATAACCGCATACTCGTATAACTTGAGAAGTACCGCTCAGATTTCGATGAAATTTTTAAAAAATACTACTGTGCCAAGGACGGAAAAGCTTTATAGTTTATAAAATCGTCCAGTGGCGCTAGGTACAGCAAAAGGCCTAAAACGAAAAAAGTAAAAATCACTCAAACCTGGTTTTTTTACTTTTCAGAGGATTCTGATCATTTTTGAAACAGATTTTATAGGTAAAAAAGCCTGGGGAGAAGCTTGAGAGTTTATCTACATTTTTTGATGTTAGTACATTTAGACGCTCCCAACCTTGGCAATGCCATGCACCCATTAAACATATTTTCACATCATAGATTTCTCCGTACATCAGCCCTTAAAGTAGTATCGGGAGACATAAGTATTGGCCGCGGTTGCTGCTGGCGTCATGCGCCGACCGTCTTGACTGTTCTGTTATGGAATCACACGTATGTCTGCCGCGCAACAGTATAGCGTCTTCTATACTCGGACCGCGTTTCGTGGTGCCATGTGTATTCGAATTAGTTGTTGAGCTTTTGTATGAAACAACGGAGTTTGACATGCCGCACATCTGCCACTTTTATAAGCGCAGTAATGAAATTTGTGACAAAAAGTTGTTGTCCCTAGAATCGGCAAGAATGCTGTAAGCCTTTTTATTACGAAATTCTTTCTTATTAAATATTATAGTATCACATCGTCCATAGAAATAGAAAATGTGACGAAGCGATGCAGTATTTGTTGATACTAGAGGGTAAATACAAGAAATATAAAATACTTTAGATTAAACAGCAAGGTGACGCCTTAAATTTTTAATGCTCATCATAGTATAATGCTATTATTATCAATGTCTCTTTTTCTGCATTATGTTCATTTAATTGATAGGTTCTTTCCAGCAGTGAATTTTTGACAGTCGGGAACAGTCATACAGGATAACTGTATCTGACAGTACCTAATAGTCCAAAAGTACTTAATATTTAGGATATTTGCTCATGACTTACAAAACTGGAATTTAGTGTCCCGTTTTTAATTTATAGACAAAATGTTGCATCTACCTCTCTCATCACAATTGAATTTCATTAGGTGAGCATGATTATGCTTTGATTTCATCTCAGTTTTAATTATATGTGTTTGTTTCCAAAATACCATTGCCCTTTATATCAGTAAATATTTTTTGAAACTGAAATACATTAACTTTTCGAAAATGATTGTTACCTACGTGTTTGAACACACTGCAGTAATAAAAGATTATAAAAATGGACAAATTAGGGTAAAATCGGGGCTGAAATCGATGATAATCGAAGTGGGCGTGGACGGGCTGTCAAAATTTTATACTTTTAGATAAAGTATCCAAAGCGTTAGTGCGTAATCTTTTGTTCTTTCAAAACGGTTTGTCGGCGTATGTAAAATAAGACAAAACATTTAAAATAAGAGATTGGGGCACTCTGATCAACCGTTTCTTAGAAATGTGCGCTCAAATACCATCATCTGTAAACAGTTTTCTTTAAAATGGTTTTGTTGCGTGGATGAGCCACCCTGTGTGTATACAACTCCACGTTGACGGAGGGTTACCCTCGGCTGGCGACACTCATATGCCACGTCATAAAACAGTTTTTACGACGCAGTGTTACGCATGTTATTTACTTGTTGTTTTTTGTACCCGTATTATGGCCTGGATGAAATATCGAAAGGCGGTATGTATGACGTGCTACTTTGTGAGCGGCGATTGCGAATATGCTTCAGCTAATATGGATTTTTTACAAAACACTATGTATGTTTTCTTATAATGGAGCAGCCATTGATGCAAATTTAAAATTCTGGAGAGGCTACTATGAATAAATTAAAGAGTTTTCAACTGATTATTCAGCCAGACTTCAATCCGGAAGGGCTATTCCTTAAAAACCTAAAAATGTTATAAAAAATGACAAAATGTCAACTTGCTGGCTAGATAGTTTCTAGTATGCAAGTAGTACCTTCCACGTTTGCTCGCTATGGGCGCTGAGAGCGTCCATCTATGGAGGAATGACCCAACGACTCAGCACGCTCAATGACCATGGTAGCTGCAAGTCAGTTCTCCATCTTGTCTTGTTGGTCGCATAATGCCGAGATGTCTGAGAAGATGTGTGGTTCAGTAGCAGAGTAGCAAGGTCACATCTGTATGATTGTGTATTGGTCTGCATGTGCATAAGGTCAGTGATATTTGCTATGTGAGAGAATTGTTATTGATTATGCTTCCCATAATATCTATTAGCTGTGCCAGACGTGTTATTTGTGTTGTCCTTCCAAAGTTATACATTACGATTTTCCCCGTTTTCTTGCGTTCCCAAAAACTTACGGGAAATCAGCACCGCACTCGCGTTATGTTTAATTAGCGACATCACAGAAAAATGGAATATGAATAGGAATAGGAATGACGCACCACATACAAAAACATTTTCGCACGGCTTCACATCTAGGAGCTGATTTATATTTTCTACTTGAGATCGTAAAGTAAATTTCTAAATGACTGGGAATAAAGATGATGTGAAATGTAATAATTTTTTTACGTTTCATAAATACTCCAGCCTCTAGCATATTTTCTCACCTGTTACTTCACCAACCAGAGATTTTCTCTTGTTATATCTGAAATTCAGCAAATCGAAATATGTAATTTCCAAAATGAATATGAAAAAGTGGGTGCGAAACTAATTTTTAGCTTTGAATACATCTCAAATAAGTGTATTTGAGACAAGAAACCAATAGAATTATCATCAACACAGATTATTAGCACACAGATCCTGACTATGCACCTATGCTCTGCCGTTTTCTTCCAGTTGTGGTATACAACGCACAGCTTAGACCGCCAATAATGCCATCTCTGAAACAGATATTACATCACATTAGAGCCAAACATTGATAGCTGAAACTGAAGCTCAAGTTTGAGCAACACTTACAGCTAAGGAACGAGTACACAACAAGTATGCAACAGCTAGTTCTAAGTTGGCATCTTGTAGAAAAACCTACATAATGTCATAAAAACCTATATTATGTCAAAAAAAACACATAATGTCACTTTTCAGAATACGAAATACCCCTGCCGGAAGTGACAGTGATTCTAAAATCATTCCGAATAAACAAGTACTGGGTTAAAATTGATTCATATCTTTCGAATCTCTTGTTTATTTTAACTTGAAATGTAAAAAATCCTAATTTTTTCATTTGAGGTCAAAATGCACAACTTTGATGGTAATTGATCAACGAATGCATTAGTCAATTATGAATCCTAAAAAATGTACGTTATTGCGATTCCACATACTATTAGTGCGCCTACCAAGCGCTATATACCGGATGTTTCAAATTTGACTCTCACCATTGGGATCTCGGGAACGGGAAGAGATACGGAATCGGTTAAAATTTTAAATAGAAAGTACATTAGCATCGTAACTTTTTGTTCCCTACAAGGTAGCATAATTAGAATTTCAATATGATGTTTCGTCTCTTGCCCTCAAACATCAAGTTTATCTTTTTGATGGGCAACATATTGAATTTTATTACAATTTTAATAGATATTTCAATTGTGATTACAAAAATTTATACTAGGGTGGTCCTAGAAGTACCCGGCCTGACCTAGAGCGGCGATAGTTGTTTGAAGGATATCATTGTATTAGATAGTATGCAATATATAAAGCATATGTGTCAAGTTTGAAGACCCCACGTTGTTTAGTATTTGTTTGGCAGCCATCAATACTGAACGTTTTCAGTGAATTTGTGAAAATGGAGAAAATTGGTCATCGCTATGTGGTACAATACTTTTATTTAAAAAAACCAATATAAAATCTGAACTGGATTCTACTCTGGGTGAGTCTGCTCCTTCGTTTACAACAGTAAAATGTAGTGGTAGACCAAATGAGGTGACGACTCCAGAAATGGTGAAGAAAATTCACAAAGCGGTATTGTATGATCGTCGACTGAAAGTGCGCTATAGTAGGCATTTCATAGCAAATTATCTGAAAATTTCGACATGAGAAGCTGTATGCAAGATGGGTGCGGCGATTGCTCACAATCGAGCAAAAACAGTGTCGTGAAGATGTTTCAATTGAGTGTTTAGCGAAGTTTCACGGCAACAAAGCAGAATTTTTGCGTAGTTTCATAACCATGGATGAAACATGGGTCCATCACTTCACAAACGAGACAAAAGAACAACCAAAACAATGGACTCAAAAGGGACAACCGGCTCCAAAGAAGGCAAACACCGTTTCATCTGCAAACAAGGTTAAGGCGTCGGTTTTTTGGGATGCGCGTGGGATAATTTTCATTGACTATCTTGAAAAAGGTAAAACTATCAACGGCGAGTATTAAGCGAACTTATTGCAACGTTTGAGCGATGCAATCAAGCAAAAACGGCCGCATTTGGTTAAGAAGAAGGTGTTGTTTCATCAAGACAATGCACCAGCTCACAAATCCGTTATTGCAATGGCCAAAATTAACGAATTAAAGTTTGAATTGCTACCTCATGCACCCTATTCACCAGATTTAGCCCCCTCGGATTATTTTGTTTCCAAACTTGAAAAAATGGCTCAGTGGTCAAAGATTTTCCAACGATGAAGAAGTGATGTCGGCAGTTACTGGCTATTTTGAGGAGCAAGACAGTTCTTATTATAAAAAGGGTATCGAACTTGTTGAACATCGCTGAGAAAAGTGTATAGAGCTCAAAGGAGATTATGTTGAAAAATAAATACATTTTTTTACAAAATTAATGTGTTTTCTTCGTTGGGTCGGGTACGTCTGGGACCACCCTCGTATTATACCATACATTGACATTGCTATATCCATAGTTATTTCAAAGAAATTGAACTACCCTACACCCTACTGAGCGGTGCCGTGGCAAATGCTTGTTCCGCAAGTTGTTGTATCCAGTATACAACTTCTACCTGTTCAAGTGATTATACACGCGTTAAGGAATATCTCAGTACCGATTGCCTTGTGTCGGTACAAGTCCGCCAACGGGCTACTTTAGGTCAACTTAATATCATTAACATGCAAAAAGAAGGTGGTAGACAAGGACCAGTTGACCGAGGCGGTACCACCCGCTAGCTTCTCTCAGGGTGTCTCATAAATGTCCGCATGTTTCCACACCTAAGCTATGCAGTCGGTTATCGTTCAAAACAAAGAAATGAATGATGATGGATCCCTCGAGCACCAAGAATTCCGGACATAGACTCACTCCACTCTCGGAATGTCCGGCTCGAGGGAACAATATCGAAGATAAAATTTGTTTCACGAACATCTGCGGAATTAACAGCAACGTTGATGCTGTTCATCACTACCTGCAGTCCAACGGTCCCACCATGCTTTACTTGGCGAAGACAAAAATCTCAAAGTCCGCACCGATTAACCATCTTAGCTTCCCAAAATACGAGGTGCCCTCCAATCTGACCGGAAGAACATTCTGTGGCTTCGCCTCAACTCCAAAACATCACCCTAATTCATTTGCTGCCTGTATCGCTCTCCATCGGACCATAACTGGGATCACCCACTTGAATACCTCGCCGTCAAGATCGACTTCCTGGACATCAATCACCCCGCTTCAGAGGTAGTTCTTCTCGGTGATTTCAATGCCCATAATGACATTGGCTGAGGTCAAACAAGATTGATGCAGCAGGTCGTGCAGTCGAAGCGTCCGCTCGTACTCAAGGGCTTATCCAGCTGGTGACGAGCCCTGTCTCCCCTTTGTAACTCGGATCACGTTGTTGTGGAGGTAAGGTTTAGCTCAGA